AGGTGGTGGAAAGGCAACTGGAGCATTTCATAAAACAATTACTACAAACCGGAAATCTGGCTAACCTGCAAAAGTGATTCAGAACTAATTCAGAATGAATGGCTCGTTCCTCTAAAGCAGTTCTTCATGTCATTGAACGCCTCATCAAAATGAAACGTCCTGACGCAACAACAACATCAAGGAATGCTGAGAGGAACTGATCAGACACACAAACATTTCCAAACAAATGATCAATAAATCCAACACAATGACAGATTTTGAAAACTAGTTGAACATTTATGCCTGCAGTGACTGATTATACAGTCTTCTGTGACTGGGTCTTTTTTGACCCGTGTTAGAATAAATGTGTTTTTTTTTTTGCTACTTTTGTCATTTTGACTCAAAATAATGTTTTATATAATACTTTCTGCTATGCTTTATTCCACACTATAATTATTTCATGTTTGAAATATTTTTATTTTTCACTTTTTTAAGCACTTGTAGATCAATTTGTAGAACATTTGAGACAATTTGCAGAACAATTTTAAAACAGAATGACAACAACAACTTTACAACAGCAATGGAACAATGTCAGCGTCCATCATGTGTGTGGGTGTGAGAGAGGGAGCTGGGGGTGGTGGGGAAAAGGGAGGGCACGTTTCTTGAAACTAGCTAGCTAACCAAGCTAGCTAACATTGCTGTCTGTATTCTATTATGTTACATGTATCATGTATGTAGGTGTATGTGTGTGCATTTATCTGTCCATTCGTCCATCCGTCTTCTTCCGCGACCCGACTTCGGGTTGCGGGTTCAACAGTTTAAGAATGGAGGCCCAGACTTCCCTCTCCTCAGCCACTTGTTCCAGCTCCAGAGGAATTCCCAGGCGTTCCCAGGCCAGTCGAGAAACATTCCCAGCTTGGCCTGGGTCTTCCCCAAGGCCTCCTCCCAGTGGGACCTGAACACCTCACTAGAGAGGCCTCCAGGAGACATCCTGACCAGATGCTCCTCTCGATGTGAAGGAGCAGCAGCTCTACTCTGAGTAGTAACATGTTTTTGAGGAATTCCTGGAATATGAAGTGATGAAAAAGTGCAGAAAAGTGACCTCACCGGGCCAAAAAAGACCCACTTGCACATTAGAGTGTTAAAACTTCTCTTTATTCCAGATTTTGACTTTTAAATATTGAACTTTTTTATTTCTTTTCTATCTTTTTAAAAAGTTGATGTTTTTTGTTTTATTTTTAAGTTATTAGTATTTTATTGATAATTGTCGTATTTTATGACTTCTGTTTCATTATTTCTGTGATCAGCTCTTTGGTCGTGTTGGAGTTTGAAGTTCTCTGGGACAAAATCAGGAAGAGTAACTCCAGAGCTGCAGAGTTTAGATACTGCATGTTCATCATTTCTGATGTAAAATAAAAACAAAAACTGAATAAATAAATGACTTGTGGTGTTTCTCCTCATGTGATTTAAAACTCATGTCACATTTTTAGACTCAATTCAGGGAAAATATCAACTGAACAAACTGAGCCATGAATGTAAAGACGTCCAGCCAGGAAATGTTTCTTTTTCATTAATTTATTGATTATTTTTTCATTTCTGAGGCAGAGAAAGCTCCATTAGGGAGGTCAAGGTCAAGTGAGAAAAAACTAAATTAATTTTTCCCTTATTCTACAAAAATGTGGGACAAACTGATGAAGATGCAACTATAAAATTACATCTGAGAGGAAATTTGATGAGAATTTCATTTCATAATAAGTTTATTTTATTTAAGCCCAGTTGTTCTTTTTATCCAACTCATGTATTTACACACATCCATGATCACAGCTGATTTCTGACATGGAACTTTTCCAGTTAAAGAAATCACACCATAAATCATGCCGCTGTACACCGCTGCTCCACCAGAGTCGCCCTGTAGAAAAATGTATATCAATATATTTATTTGTGTTGTAAAACAGAAAAGTCTTCCAATCACTGGAGAGAGAGAGATTGAACTTACATGACATACGTCTTTGTCCGGTGCTGCAGCACGGAATATATGCCCACGTTTCGGCATGAAGTGGGAAACAGCATCAACATTCATGTCAACACACTGAAGATGTGGTGGAAGAGGAGTTTTGGTTACTGCAGAGAAACATGAGAATCAGAAACATGTTATTCACTCGACCTTCTCTGTAGAGACAGAAACAAAGATTTTTTTCTCATGGCTCCAATATTTCTCTCACTTCGCTGATAATTGGGGCCGATTATCGTTCCTCCCTCTCCTGCCAGCTGAACGACATCGCCTCTAGAACGCGATAAGAATAAAATGTAAAAATACAAGACAGCAATATAGAAAAAGAATTGTATTAAAGAACAGAAATTAAATCCACGACGGACTGAATCCATCTCCACCTCCAGTCCTCAGTGTCCTGCGTCCATTACATGCGCCTCTGGTCCAACACACCTGAGCTGAACGGGTTCTGGTTCTGCTGGTGGCCTGATTACCTGACTCAGGTGTGCTGA